CGGGACAGGTGCATCCACGCGCAATCCAACACACACACACACACACACACACCCCGAAACTGAGCCCGAGTGTGGATGTTCATACAGTGACAGACATGTGTGTTTGCTGGAAGCGTGTTTGAGCGGGGAACACTAATATCAGCTGTGCTTTCTTCATGAGGTAAGGCTACGTGTCTTTGTACTGTAATATGTACAGATGAGATGATCTCACTGACACGCGGGTTTTTCGGTTCAACATGATTTCACAAGTTCTCAGAGTGAGTTATTACGAGTGCTCTCTTTATTGTTCTTGTTGTATACGTCTGCGCCGGGAGGTCTGGAAGTGTTTTGCGGTGAGCTGAGTGTTCTCTCGTGTTTCCACTGCGGATTTCTAGTGCTGGATACGGTGCCGGGTGTTTTTCAGTCCGCCGCTGGAGCGAGAGCTCTTATTAGCGTTCGGCTAATTAATCTGCACATTATAAGGTCTGATCAAGCGAGTATCAAGCTGTTCCAGGGATTTTCTAAGAGAATGTGTTAATGAGTTAAAGTCGGCATGAAATCAAAATGGACTTGATTTACTTTACTAGCGCACATTGCTAGTCTTGATGTGAACAATTAATCCGCTGAAAAGAAAATTCACATTTCTCTGATGATACTCATCTAAACCAGACACTTTAATATAGGCCTGTATGCAGTGTTGGGCTAGTTACTCAAAAAATGTAATAGGCTATATTACTCATTACTAGTTACTCCTTTCAAAAGTAATTGTATTAATTTACTATTACTTTCTGGCAACAGTAATTAGTTACACTGCTTCTAGTTACATTACTTTTCTTTCACGCCCCACATAAGTTGCATATCTTCCCCATAAAATTCTTCTAAAATGTTAATAATATTTTTCTGCCTCATCATTTGACCAAAATCCACATTGGATTGCAGTCAGAAGTTATTACAAACACTCAATAGTGACTGATAGTGACATTCAAGTAGAAGTGTTGTATTAATCCCATTAATTGTCATGTGTAGCTTGAAGCTAATTGTCATTTCTCCGTTACCCATATACGATTATATTTCATTAAGTTTGTAAGAAACTGTGTAATTTTCCAAAAAGATTTTTTAATTATAGTAATATAATGTACCACATACTGATCAGAGGAGTGTGGGTGGGATGTAATGCCAGAGTAAAGTAAAGCCACAACTTAGTGTTCAGATCATCTTTTTTTCCTGACAAAATCAATATAATGCAATATTTCTATCTGCTGAATGTAAGCTTTTCCATATTCCAAGCTTGCCTGCTGCACTGGGGACATCACATGCATGTGCAAGTCGTGAAAATTATGAAAATAAATCTAGGAATTATTTGATTGTTGGATTTTAAATCAGTCGAGGCATCAAAAGTATCTAAGCTGTTTTATGGATGGTAACTGTAATATTATTACTGAAATTTTATTAGTAATTAGTTACACTACTAGTTACTGCAAAAAGTAATATTATTACAGTAACTAAGTTACTAGTTACTGCCCAACACTGATTGTGACACAGTGACCGTCTTATTTTAGGCCATATTTTATTTGTATTTTATTGCATGAGTAACTAAATGTTTGGTCCATGTAAGGTCTTGTTAAATGTTTTTCATTGTTACAGGTACACATTGTTACAGGTAGTACCTTTTGATTTCATCATAAATGAAGATGAAAGTGAGATGGAAGTTTTTTGATTTTCACCCAAAAATATGGCTGCTGTGATCTAAGAACCTAAGCTTTAGCAATATGGCCGTCTCCACAGGAAATGGAGCTGGCACTGAAGCAGGACATCCTGAGGTGTGAGAAATGGCTGGAGGTGATTACAGAGCAGGATAAACAGATGAGGATGTTTAAGAGTTGTCACACCAATGAGGAGCTCTTTGTCCATCGGAAGAGTGTTCATCCAGGTCTCAGCTACCAACGGATTCCCCTGTCTGACTATTGCGCACCTAAAGAAGAGGCAAGTCAGTACACTATAAGAATGGTATAGATTTGACGCTTTAGTTGAAATGTTGTTGTTCTCCCTCAGGTTTTTGACCAGTTGTTGGAGGCCATGAAGAGCAGTCTGGCTGAAGACCCCAACTGTGCTTTCATCTTCAACTGTCATGATGGGAAAGACCGAACTACTGCAGCCATGGTCATCGCCACTCTCACCCTGTGGCACATTAATGTAGGTCATATTCAGCTAGTGGAGGGAGGAAATGAGAACTAAATTATTCACCCCCAGGATATTGATTAGATAGAGGAAAAATGTTTAACCCTTTAAACCCAAAGTGTCCCGAAAAAAATTCTAAATCAAATTACTAAGCAACTCCTGAATGGAATAACACAAAATAGTTATCATTTTAAAGCTTAGAAAATATTTTGATAAACTCTTAACGAGCGCTAAGCAGTCCCTCTAAACCGAAGTGTACAGCGGGCGGGACGCCCCCCCTCCGCGACAATATTACTAATCATATTTTTCAAACCACTGCCTTGATCAACAAAAAATGGATATCATTTGAAAGCTCAGAGTCTGAGCTTTACAATGCATGTAGCCACTTTGATTTTAACACCAAAGTAGTGCCGAGTTATTTGCTGATAAATGACAAAAAAAAAATCATAATTTACAAAATATGTTTTTTTTGTGCCATGTACTCTAATATGTCAAAAATATAATACAGCTCGGATAGTCATGTGTCATTTGAAAGGTCTCATCGAGTAGAATAAAACAAGCATAAATGTTTGGGACTTTGTATAAACTGGAGCAAGTTTTTGTACAAGAAGTCACCCCCAGACCCATATAAAAATAATATATTGATGTCACCGTTTTACTTGTAACTTCATAAAACATGATCAGATCGTGGAAAATTAGGCACCATTATTTAGAGCATATTCTCCTGATTAAAAAGAGCCCGAAAACCACTATAATCTGTCATTTATATCTAAAATTTCCTCGTGAATTTGAATGAATTTGACACATAAAACTGCACAGGCAGCATGTAGTTTAGCCCAAAAAATCTAAGGTAGCTGTCATGTGGCGATTTCGCTAGTAACTTCATGAAACATGCATATATCATAGAACCACACGTCATTATTTGCAGAAAATTCTCCCGATTAAAAAGAGCCCAAACTCACCATAATCCATCGTTTAGATCTAAAGATATCTCTCATAAAGCTATAACACATAGAAAAGAATTAGGTCATGTAGTTTAGCAAAAAAATCAGAGGTTGCATTCCTGTGCCGTTTTAGCTCGTAACTTCACCAAACATGCATAGATCTTGAAAAACCGCACAGCATTATTTTCAGAAAATTCTCCCGATTAAAATGAGCCCAGAGTTACCATAATCCGTCAATGAAATCCAAAGATATTGCTCATATTGCTATAACACATAAAATCCAATGGGCGCGCTTCAGGCGCAACAGGACAAATAACTGTAGTTTCACTTTGTGCTTTTATTCGTAACTTCATGAAACATGTATAGATCATGGAAAATTGCACGTCAATATTTTCAGAAAATTCTCCCAATTAAAAGGAGCCCAAACTCATCGTAATTCGATCATTGCATCTAAATATATTACTTACGATATTATCACACACATGAAACCATTAAATTGAGAAAAACATAGGTTACGTTTTCATTCATAACTTCATGAATCACGAATCAACACAAAATAGGTGTCATTTGAAAGCTTGGAATCTGACCTTTACAATGCATGTGGCCACTTTGATTAACTCCTAAGTAGTGCGGAGTTATTTGCGGATAAATAGAAAAAAATTATTTCATAATTTATGAAAAATGTTTTTGTGCCATGTACTCTAATATGTCAGAAACATCATACTGTCAGACTCTGGGCCAGGTTTTGTGTGTGTCTTTGCTCCCTATGTGCTCCGTCTTCCAGTTTCTCTGTCTCGTGTTTTGAATTCATTGTTCCCAGGTGTTTCCTATGTTGATTGTCTTATTAGTTCCAGGTGTCCCTTGTCTTCCCCTCATCAGTTCCTGTGTATTTAAAGTGTGTTCTAGTTCTTGTCCTTTGTCAGTCGTTGAACTTCATCCTGATGTGTCGAGTCCTGTGATCCCCAGCCTCTGTTAATAAAACCCTTTTGATTTATTCTACTCCGTGTCTCCTCGCTCCTTCGTTCTCGTGTTCCTCGTGTGTGTGCACCGTGACAGAACGACTGACCAAAACAGTAAGCGGCGCTCCTTCTTCCGTGTTTTATTTTCGTTTTTGAACAGTCTTTTGTTTTCCTTTTTCTCCTGTACTCTAATATGTCAGAAACATCATACAGCTCAGATAGTCATGTGTCATATGTCATTTGAAAGGTCTCATCGAGTGGAATAAAACAAGTATAATTATATAATATTTGGGGCTTTGACTAAATTTGAGTGAGGCATTACTTCAAATTCAAAACAACAATTTCAAAACTGTAAAGGGCTAAGAGAAGGTTCCAAATGCTATAACTTTTGATTACTTCATGATATCACCACAAAATATAATTCACATACAGCACACATGTTGGGGAACATCACCAAAAAAAATTTCTCCTACCTTATTTCTTTCATGAGATATTGAACGTCAAATAAGAATATGAAAAATTTCCCTTGACCACACTAATTTTTCTTACATTTTATCACCTATTTCTCAGCATGAGAATATTCAAATGCAAAGATTTTTTTCCCCATAAAAATATAGAAAAATTTCTATCAGACGATACCTACCTTTTGACTCTCCTTGCTATGGTCTTGGAGTTATGAGTCATTATTTTTGTGCATGGCACTCAGAAAACAACAGTTTTTAAAATTCCTTCAGAGAGTCAAGGGCTAAACAAAAATGCCTGTTTTGTTACAAAATATTGTAACTTTTGGATACTTTATTTTCCTCCCACCTTATTTCTTTCCTGAGATATTGAATGTCAAATAAGACATATAAAAAATTTCTCTTGAGCACTCAAATTTTTCTTACATTTTTATCAGCTATTTCGCAGCAGGAAAATTTCCAAATGAAATAATTTGGTTTTTTTCCACTGAAAGTACTATCAAACAATACCAACTTTTTGACTCTCCTTGCTACAGTCTTCGAGTTATGAGTCATTATTTTTGTGTATGTCAAGGGTTAAACTGAGTTGCAGTCAGTTTCATAAACCTGACCCTGTTTTCTTCAGGGCTTTCCTGAGTGTGAAGAAGATGAGATTGTAAGTGTTCCCGACGCCAAGTACACCAAAGGAGAGTTTGAGGTACATTGAGGTCATGCTTCTTTAAATGGCTGCCAGTGTCAATCTAAAAACAAACATTTTGATCATTTTGAAAATATAAATTCTATGATTAATAAACCCACCTATGCAAAGTAAATGATTGTATTTAATAGAAAATAGTTTCTATTATACAGTAGATAATGATTTAAAAACATTTGATTTGATGAATTTTGACCCATGCGTGCATGTATGTGCATTCAGGTGGTGATGCAGGTGGTAAGGGTGTTACCTGATGGCCATCGTGTGAAGAGAGAAGTGGACGTCGCTCTGGATGTTGTTAGTGAGACGATGACCCCCATGCATTACCATTTACGGGAAATCATCATATCCACTTACAGACAGGTGAAAAGTGATTTATACATACATACTGTACATACATACATACATGCATACACACATATATATGTGTATGTGAAGGGTTCAGATGCAAAAGCCTCTAAGTGCCATTGGAAATTTTCTTCTAAAATGAGCATTTTTATTAGGCTCCTATGTGTATCATTTTAATATTTTTTTATGTGTTTTGCATGCATAAACTTCAGCATGAAAAGTTGAATGTAAAAAAGGTAGTTAATAGGACAGTTAGTCAGTGCTTTTAGGAGCCATGTTGAATAATAGATTGCTTCTAAAGCAATTGTTTTTGTACCTAACATAGCCTTGAGAAGTCTATAGAGGTACAATTTTCTCATTTGTGCTGATGCGCTCAAAGCGACCAAGAGATTATTAATGCCCATTGCAGTGCATCAGCCAAGAGCATTCTGAATGTGTTTAATTTGAGGCTGAAAAACATGTTTTTATTCTACAGTGAAGACCTTGAAGAACAGCAGAGTAAATGAGCAGAGAGCTTTCAAAAGACTGCTTTGAAAAGCCCTGCAAATATTTGTTAGGGTCCAAGACTTTATAGTTAGTATGTTCTGAGGTACTGGTATATTTTTATCATGTAACAGTTGTTACAGTTGCTCATCAATAGCTCAGTGTTTATGTACTAATTTACAAACTTTAAAATACAAACTTTGAGCCTCTTTAAAGCTAATCAGCAGGGACTGGTGAATATTGCCCATGCCACACTGCACATGTAAGAACCTGTTTTCAATACAAATGCTCTGTACTATAACTCTAATAAAACTTTTAATTTGAGCATGTGGCAGTGTACTAGTGCAAGGCCTGTTACTCAGAAATGTTGCATGTAGCTAGCTAGCTAGCTGCCTCATTCTGAATGAATTGCATCATCTGAAGCCCTTGATTGACTCTGGGAATTTGTGTGAGTTGCTTGTTATTTTGCAATTGTTTTATTTCCTCTTGATTTGTCACTTAATTAACATTATGTACAGTGGGCTCAAATATCAGACCACACTAAAATTCTGGTCTGGGCATTCTTTTTTCCATTTTGAGAAACTGTGAAATGAAATGCACATACATTTTTTTTTTGTATTAATCATTAATTTTTAATGAAACTTGTATCAAATCAGAGGTATTTTCACCGGTGGTCTCAGACTTTCAGACCTTATTGTAAAATATTAAAGTGAGCACTTTACCACTGTGAGAGATATTTGGCTTTGAACATATTCCAACTGGTCTCAGACATGGCCTGGCAGGTAGTGCACTTGCGATAACAGGTCAAAAAAGTGGCTCGATTTAAATCAAGAAACTTTGTGCTTTGATGCTTATGCAGGTGACGCAAATACCT